GTCTAGAGCCCCTTCTTTTCCATCTGCTGTCCTAGTGGCACAGTGCTTAAAGCATTTGACTGCTAACCAGAAGGCTGGCGGTTCAAATCCACCAGCCACTCCTGGGAAGGAAGACTGGGCAATCTACTTCTGTAGAGATATTGCCTGGGAAACCCAAGGAGGGGTCACTATGAGTCAGGATCAACTTGATGGCAGTGAGTTTGGGTTCTTTTGGTCTTAGCTGGGTGGACAAAACCATCTGTTCATCCTTCCAGCAGATTTTTATCACACGCCTACTATGGCCAGGCCTGCCATGGGTGCTGCAGACACAGACCAGCCCTGCCCTCATCGGATATACAGTTTCCTCAGGGAGGGAGGTATTAACCCACCAAGCCTACAGAGGACTATCTAACTTTGTGACATGAAGGCAAGTGCTAGGTGCTGGGAGCCGCACACTGGGAGTGTCTAGGTAACCGGGTTAACCTTTGCTGGCCCAGACAGCTAGCTCTCATATTTTTACTCTAAGAACGGTAGTCTTCTAATTTGTTTGCTAATCACTCCCTCCCCCCGCATCCCAGGTATTTTTGTACACGTGCTATGTTAATTTTTTACCAATATGTGAATTAAAAAAAAATTAGTATAACGCTTAGCTCAGGAAAATACCTCACAGGGGGAGGGCCCAGCTGGCAAACAGAGAAGCTGGGCTCCTCTTATTTGTGTAAAAATAAAAATATAATACTCCCTTCCAGGCCATGGGGCCTGAGGACCCGGGAGGAGGTGGCCGGATGCAGCCTCTGGGACCCCTCCCCCAGGGCTGGCTTCCCAAGTCCTCTTGTCTCTTTGAAGACTGTCCCTTTACAACTGCCCTTTCCACCGAAGGATCCAGACACAAATTGTACTTTAAATTCAATATCGGTCATTAATATTTCATGATTACAAAACGTTAAAGATAATGTCAGTGGAAGGAGCGTCTGCATGAGCAGAATGGATGACTCAGAAGTTAGGGAAGAGGGGAGCCGGCATACTAAGTGGCTCGGGGAGTCTTTGAGGTAATCCGGTATGACAGGCGGCCGGCTCCCAGCTGAGCCCTACATTCTCCGAGGGGCTCACAAGCTCCACCGCTGTGTATAAATATTTTCCCTCTGATTCTTGTCACCTCATGTTTGTTACGCCCGGGAGCAGGCGGGGCCTCCATGACCCCCCAAACGTCTGCTCTGTTTCTCAGGATCCCAAGTGGATGCTTCAACAAGAGGGCACAGGTGGAGGGACCCATTGGCACTGAACTTGGGGCTCGGCCAAGGGCTTGGAGGCAGGAAGTCTGGGGCCAAGCCCTGGCCCTGCATCGACTTGCCCTGTGACCCTGGCGATGGCACTCTCCCCCCGACCCTTCATGTCCTCATCTGTAAAATGAAATCATGATTTCCTACTTGCTTCATGGAGATGGTGAGAAGGAGGAATGGGTAGGAGTGCCTGGCTTTGGGCAGGAAACAAGGGAATGTGCCTTAAGGGGCATCTGGGTTAGCGCTGGGCTCTGGAGAAGACAGGCTGGGGTTGAACCCCTGGGAACCTGGAGAAATGACCTCTCTGAGTCTCAGTTTCCTCATCTGACCATTGGGGAGAACAGTAATACCGATACCTCATAGGATTGCTATGAAGTGAGCTCATCACTGTGAATGAAGTGCCTGGTACACAGTTGGTGCTTAATATATGCCAAGAGCAACAGATCTCATTCAGTGACCACTTACTAAGTATCACGCTAAGGGCTTTCCCATACATTTGTTGTTGTTGTTGTTGTTATATGCCGTCGAGTCGGCCCCCACTCATAGCGACCCCTCCTTGGGTTTCCGAGGCAGTATCACTACGGAAGTAGGATTGCCCAACCTTCCTTCCGAGGAGTGGCTGGTGGGTTTGAACCGCCAGACTTCTGGTTAGCAGTCAAGTGCCTTAGGCACTATGCTACCAGAGCTCCTTTCCCATACATTACCCCATTTAATCTTCCCACCAGCACCGCAAAGTAGGATCTATTCACTTTCCCATTGACTAATATCCCAGATGAAGGTTGGGTAGAGGTCCTGGGTTGCAGGGATTATCTAGCCCAGTGACCAGACTTCTCCTTTCAGGAACTCATCGTCTTTCCCATGGTCAGTTTCTGGGAATCGGCCTGGGATTTGGGGACCACAGAGTACAGGAAAATGGAGGCCATGTACCAATCCCATTGTTAGAGGTTGACTTGTGTTTCCCCAAAATATATATTGACCTTGTTAGGAAATGAAGATGTAGTTAACCTGAGTTATGCTAAAGCAGGGTGGGACCTAATCCAGCATGACTGATATCCTTACAATGGACAGCTAGACAGAGACACAGAGGGAAGACAGAGGCAGAGATCAGAGCGATGTGTCTACAAGCCAAGGACACCAAGCATGGCCAGAACCACTAGAAGCCGGGAAGAGGCAGGGAGGGCTCTTGGTCTGGAGCCTTCAGGGAGAACTGCTGACCACCTTGATTTTAGACTTCTAGCCTCCAGAACCATGAGGCGTAAAGTCCTGTTGTTTTAAGCTTCCCCTGTACCTTTGTATGACAGCCCTAGGAAACTAATACTGGGGTGGAAGGAACTGGACAGACTGGGGCCTGATCCCAGCTCTGGCGCTGCATATCCTCAGGCAAGTGTCCTGTCCTCTGAGCCTTGCTTTTCCCATCTGTAAAACGGATGCTGATCATGTTACCTCACCAGGTAGCTGTTGAGGACTCAATAAAAATGCAGCTTTTGTATTAGGTAAAAACTGCAAAATGTTTGTGGGGGAAATTCCCACCTCCCATCCTTTCTCCTGTGGAACGGCAAACGCGCCCCCCTCAGTGTGACCGACCTTATATGCTGCTCTAGCTGCACTCTGAAAGTGACCCACTGGGTAGAAGAACAATGCTTAGCCCAAGAGGGGACTCGCTGATGGACAGCCAGGCAGTGAGACAGGCTGGTGGGAGAGATGGATTCCTGGGAGGTTGCTCTGCCCAGAAGCCAGGCCAGTCCTTCCTGGCTCTGTCTGCAGGCCAGAGCCTCCTTGCTGCCCAAGGAGCAGGTTTGGGGAGGCAGAAAGGAGGGGGTCTCCGCCCCCCCAGCCCAGCCGCCACTTCCTCTCCAGCCACCTTTGTTATCTGCGTTTCATGAGGGTGGAGGAGTAGATTCAAAGGCTCTGGAGCGGCAGGCACTGAGGTTTGAGCCAGCTTTGTATTTTCTTTTAAACTGAAGTTGAAAGAGACCGAGGGAACTTCAGCCCAGGGACTTCCTTGGCCCAGAATAGGCCAGTGGGGCCTGAGACGGTGGGAGGACTCCAGCAGGGGAAGGAGGAGGCAGGCTGGTGGGAGGGGCCTGAGGCTGAGGTGCGCAGAGTTTGAACTTGGCCTGCCCACAGCTCTGAGAATTCCTGTTGTCATGCCTGCTTACCGTGGCTGTCTGCTGACTCCTGAGACCTCGAGAGCTGAAAGTGCTGGGGAGCCTGGAGATCAGGTGGAGGCGATGGCAGTGGTGGCTGTGGGAGGAGGCTTGGCAGGTGGAGATGGGCCCGGCCCGGCCCTCTCCCCGCTCCAGACCCCCCTGTGCCCTCAGCAGCCCATCACCAGCCTTACTGTCCTGTCCCCCATGTCTCAGGGCCCCCCTCTTTCTCTCTCTCAGCTCACACTTCTCTCCCAGCTGCACCAAACAGCCTGTGACCCACACACACCATTCCGGCAATGGGGGTCAAAGCTCCTTGCAGTCATTGTTGACAACTGTGACCCCCCCCCACGTCAACCCATCAGCGGGTCCCCTTGGCTCCATCTTCAGCCTGTACTCCAAAGCCCAGCTCGTCTGACTTCCTCCATCGTGACCTCCTACCTCCTCTGCACTGTTGCTTGAGCTCTTGGCTGAGCCCTTGCTTCTCCCCTTGTTACCGCTGTGTGCCGTCGAGTTGATTTCAACTCATAGCAACCCTGTAACACAGAGTAGATCTGCCCCAGCCTGTTTCCTAGGCTATAACTCTTTAAGCAAGCAGACTGCCTCATCTGACTTCCACAGAGCAGCTGGTGGGTTCAAACTGTCAACCTTTTGGTTAGCAGTCAAGTGTTTAACAATCTCACTACCAGGTCTCCTTCATCCCCTCTCAGCCCCAGTCTATTCTCAATGCAGCAGCCAGAGGCATCCTAAATCAGACACAACCTTCCTCCGCTCAAAGCCTTCCAGCGGCCTCCCACCTCACTTGGAGAAAAGTGCCAACCACATTCATCTCCTTGCTTCCAACACGCTGGGCAAGCTAGCACCTCAGGGCCTTTGCACTGGCTGCTCCCCCTGCCTGGAATGGTCTTCCAGTTCCCTCATGTTATTTCAGTCCCTGCTGAAATGTCTCCTTCTTAGAGCAGCCCTCTTCTAAGGGAAACCACGCCCCTCTTCCTCCCAATTGTCTTTCCCTGTTTCCTCGTAGTGTTTCACATCCCCTGACACATTGTGTACATCCCTTCTCTGGGTTTGTTTGTTGATGGTCTGCCTCTCCCCCATGAGGACAGGGCTGTTCCCTGTCTGGTTCATGACTATATCCCCAGCCCCTAGAACACAGCTTGGCATGTAGTAAACCCACTAAACCCACTGCCATCGACTCAATTCTGATTCATAGTGACTTGAGGACAGAACTTTCCCATGGGGTTTCCAAGGCTGTCAATCTTTAAGAAGCAGATTGCCTCATCTTTCTCCTATAGAGTGGACAGTGGGTTCGAACTGTCGACTCTTTGGTTAGCAGCTAAATGGTTTAACCACTACACCACCAGAGCTCCTCTGGCATGTACTAGCGCTCAGTAAATGATGAAGGAAGGAAGAAAGCTCTGTCCCCTTGGTTCCAAGGACCCCTCTCGGATCTTTGTTCTAATGGATCGGTGTTTATCCTTCCCTCTGCAGGGTCTTAGCCCAGTTTCCTAATCTTTGGCCCACACTACCCTTGGCCCTGCCCCTCAGCCTTTGCTCCTCCCCCCAGAGATGCTCTGCCCGGCTGCCAGCTCACCAGCCTCCATGGCCAGCACTGTGATGTTGTGCCAACCCGCCGTCTCGCGGTCCAGTCCCTTGCCTGTCACAATGGCGCCTGTGTCCGCGTCGATATCGAAGATCTGGTCCAGATCGGAGCTGCGGTCAATGGCGTACCTGAGGGGGGAGGGGAGGGGCTGACTGAAGGTGCCGCAGTGCCAGCTGGAGCCCTGCCCATGTCCCCACCCCACCCCAAGAGAGGGACCGCTGCCTCAGAGACAGAAGGGGCAAATAAACTCTTCCCGGGACTCGGGCTGCCTTTCAGCAGCCTGGGCTCCTGCTCTGAGACAGGGCACCCCTTACCCTTCCACAGCTTTGCTCCTCAGCTGGGAAATGGGCTAATACTTTGCACCCCACAGTTATGAGGGCTGGAGACAGGCAAAGAGTCTGACAGGACTCAGCACTCACTGAATGTTTGATTCTTTCTTTTCAAACGTGACCCAGGAATTGAGCCTGAAGGCAGAGAACTCATTGCCATCAAGTGGATTCTGACTCCTAGTGACTCTGTGGGACAGAGTAGAACTTCTCCATAGGGTTTCTAAGGTTGTAATCTTTATAGAAGCAGACTGACACATTTTTCTCTACTGGAACAGCTGGTGGGTCTGAACTGCTGACCTTTTGGTTGGCAGCCAAGCACTTTAACCACAGCACCACCAGGGATTCTTGAAGGTAGAGAAAGGGGTCAGGGATGGCATTCGGGCAGGGGGAACAAGAGATACAAAGCCATGGAGGGTGAGAACTGTATGGTAAGGAGCCCTGGTGGCACAACCAGTTAAACGCATGCTGCTAACCCAAAGGTTGACAGTTCGAACTTACCCAGGGGCTTTGTGGGAGAAAGACCTGGCAATTTGCTTTCATATAGAGTATAGCCCCAAAATTCTGTGGGGTAGCTCTACCCCACTGTATGGGGGTGCTAAAGAAAAAAACCTCACAGCCGTCAGGTCGGTTCCCATGCATAGTGACCCCTCCTTGGGTTTCTGAGGTGGTATCTCTACAGAAGTAAATTGCCCAGTCTTCCTTCTGAGGAGTGGCTGATGTGTTTGAACTACCAACCTTCTGGTTAGTATCAAATGCCTTAGGCACTACACCACCAGAGTTCCTACAGGGTTGCTAGGAGTCAGAAGTGACTCAATGGCACCCAATGACAGTAGTCAGGCCCAACAACACTCAGGCAATGAATGGCCAACAGTGAGTGAATGCACCATGTCCAGAACTGAGAAGTGGGGTTAGGAGCCAGAACGTGCAGGGCCTGGAACCCAGGAGTTTGATGTGGTAGGGAGCCAGGGGGAATTCTGAGTGCGGCAGAAGGGGCTGGCCCTGGGGTAGAAGGCTTTCTCCGGCTGCCCTGGTGTGGAGGCCTCAGAGCGGAGCCACAGGCAACTGAGCGCCTATGGCGGAGGGGGGCCTGGGAAGGGATGGCCGCTGGCCCCACCTCGCCTGCGCTGCACGCACAAGCTAATCTACAGCTTTCAGTCTCTGCGTGAAAAAGCCCTTTGTTCCGCCTTCTTCCCGGGCCTTTGTGTGGCGGCTCCAGGCCTGAAAGGCCTGTGTCCAACACATGTCTCGGGCGGCAGCGGCCCAGAGAGGCCCGCCAGCACCGGCAGCCGCTTCCCGCGCTGATAATGCGGGCGGGGGCGCGGCCAGGCAGCCCTGTGGACAAAGGCCTCGAATGCCAAGCAAGGGCTCTTTGTGCTGCGAGGATAAAGCATCCTGGTGGGGTGGGGCTGAGCAGAGCCACTGCCACAGACAAGACCAGAAGGGCCCTTCCCCCATCTTCTGGAGCAGGAAACGGAGGCTCCAGGGGGACCCCAGAAACTGCCAGCTGAAGACCAAAGCCCTGAGCTGCCCCTTCAGTGGGGCCCTGGCCGCACTGCCAACCCTCTCTGGGCCTCGGCTTCCTCATCTGTTGAATGGGGATAATGACTTCCCAGTGAGAACACACAGATCCCAGAGCAGACGGAGCTGGGTTTGAATCCTGGTTCTGTCCCTCTTCTACTCTTGTGACCTAGACTGAACGATCGGATCCCCGAGGCCTCAGTTTGCTCCTCTGGAAAAGGTGAGTCACACTCATCTCACACCGTGGCGTGTGCGGTTGTGGCTGCTGTGTGTCACTGAGTCAGTTCTGACTCACAGCGGCCTTGTAAGGCAGAACAGAGCTGCCCTGTAGGGTTTCCTAGGTTGTAAATCTTTGTTAGATTGTCAGGTTATGTCTCCCGTTGAGAGGCTGAGTAGGTTCAAACCACTAACCTTTCAGTTAGCAGCCATGCGCTTTAACCACCGCACCACCCATTCATGGGGTTGGCCATAGGTGACTGCACTGATGCTTCTCGTATTTACTGTTGCAGGGACGTGAAAGCATCTGGAAAACTGTCAAGGACCATGCATATGGGCTTAGCGGGCATTATAAGCCAGTCTTGAGCCCCCAGTTTAATGTTCTCTCCCATCCCTAAGCTACTAGCCCACATCCTTCTTGCCCTTGACCTGGATGAAAGAGTGAGCAGAGTCCAGACACAAGACGGTAATGCTTCCCCCAGCACAGGACTTCACAATCTGCAGACTGCTTCCCCTAACCCCGGCCGACCCTCCATTCATTACTCGAGTGCCCCCTTTGTGCTGCTCTGACCTAGGTCCCGGGGATAAAATGGCGGAGAAGACAGACAAGGTCTCTTGCATCCTGTGAAGCTGGTGTGATCACCACCATTGTGCTGGTGAAGACACTGAGGCTCAGAGAGGAACTTGGCAAGTTTAGGGCTGCCAAGTACAGTTGTGTATGTTATGTGCTACACAAGGGTACCAGGCTGAGGGAAGTTCTGCTTACCAAGCCACAGGTCCTAACCTAGGGCATGTATCCCTAACTGGCACCTTTTTCTTATTTATACAAAGGCTAATGATGACCCTGGCCGAGGCTGCATAGGGACTCTGTGGCAGAATTGGGATGTGTACCAAATCTGGAGTTCTTTCGAGGTCGGCCCTTCCAAAGCCCCAAGGCCTGGAGCCTCCATCTCTTCCGCTCTATCCTGGTGCTGTCAGGGCATTTGGGTTTGAAGGAGCAGACTCTGAGTGGAGCTCTGCTAGAAGTTACACTGGATACCTCCTCCGATTTTGAAGACGGGACAACAGAGTCCAGGAGAGGGCCAGGGGCATGATTCAGCGCCCCCGCCCCCATTCAGGTGGGCCTGAGGCAAGGCTTGTGGGAGGATGCCGACCGCCTCCTCCCTTCCTCTCCTCTCCTTTCTAGTCAGACCTTGCTCTCCACTCCTCCTCCTCCCACTTTTTCTCTTTTGTTCCCTTCTGGAAAGGGGGGCTGGAATCTAAGCGGAGGCAGCTGTTCCCAAGGCCATGGGGCGGGGGCCTCGGGGACCCACCATTAACCAACTAAAGACTCAGGGCTGCAGGTCAGCCCGCCTGGCTGAGCCCAGGTGTTTTGTTCCAGCTCAGAGAGCCAGCCAGGGAGTGGGAGGGGGTGCGTGGTGGGAATGTGGCCTGACAAATGTGCGTGTGGGGGGACTTGTGCACCTCACGTGTGGGAGCATGAGTTGTGTGTCTGGTCTGTGTTGTGGGTGGAAAAATGTTTGCATGTGACTTGAGTATGTGAGTGGTGTGTGTGTGTGTGTGTGCACGCACACGTGTGCCTGTGTGTATGCTTTGCAGTTGGAAAAGCAGAGGCTCAAGAGGCAGCCGCTTGGCCCCGGGGTTTGGATCCAGGCCCATGTTGACCCCAGGCAAATCCCTTCCATCTTTGAGTTTTAGTTTTCCACAAAATGGAGATGATTATCCAACCTGGCAAGGTTGTTGGGGGGATTAAATGTATATAAGACGCCTAGCTGAGTGCCAGGAAACCAGGCCATGCATAGGAGCCAGTAGAATTCTAATTATTATCCAGAAATGTCTGGCAAGGGGTATGCAGGAGTGCCCTCAGTCCAGTGTATGGTCTGTGTGCCTGGGGTGGGTGGACCATATGTGGATGTGGGTGCCCTGTCAGTGGTGGAGGAGAACAGGGGGTGGCTATGGTTCTAGAACATTGTGCTCAGATCTCAACATCCTGCCCCCACTTGGTCAGCCAGGACCTAGAGGGCAGGATGGGGAACCTGAGCAATGCAGAAGAACATGGGTACGTCT